GGGGGAATGTTTACAAATATTTGAAAAACTCTTATAAGGAGAAAGGCAAACAAAATCCTAATCAATTATTGAGCCTACATCTCCGATGGCTTCACCGAGGGTTGCGTCCCATCGGCTACGGGTCCTTCAGTGGCCTCTCCCCCTCCGGGGGCTCCTGTTACGACCCAAACTGGAGGGCCATGACTAGCACCCGGCCATACTTACCGAGTACCAACATACATTTTATCTAACCTTCTTTATTATCTTTTAGGGCTGACGAGATCAATATAAATGGTAGACATGGGTCATGGACAACCAACAATAAAATCTGATGGCATGAACATACATAACATGGGACGACTAGACAATCAAGAAACTATATATAAGGTAAGAGCTGCCACACTACCATGAGAGACTATACAACAAAAACCAGCCGACAAGGCCTACCAAACTATACATGAGTCGACACCTGTCTATGAGCCTCTAAAGGAACATAAGTGTTGCAACATAGCCGGAACAGGGCCCCGACATACCCATAATATCTATAACAAAATGCATACCAAGACCAAGGCAAGTCCGAAGAAGGGATCTCGCCAATCACCGCTGAACAGGACAGCCTACTATGGTGGGGGAGCTGCGCCTGCCTGTCTATCAGGACCTGCAGCACGACATGCAGAGTCCACAAATAAAAGGACGTCAGTACGAATAAAGTACTGAGTATGTAAGGCAGGGAACCATAAGTACGAACAGTAATGTAAGGAGGGACAGAGAATAAACAACCTGTAACATCTGGGTACCTCTAAGGGCTACTGACATGAAATGCGTGATACATATGTATATATACATAAACTTTTAAAACATACGCCTCTGTGAGCATCATCATCATCATATCGTACCCGGCCGTAATAGGCTCGGTAAAAACGTACCCGGCCACGTGGAGCTCGGTAAAACCCAACTGATCAGTGGTTGCACAATAGGTGTTGTACCCGGCCGACTATAGCGCGGCTCGGTAGAGTAAAATAGATACATATATATAATGCATGCTCGACTCATGGACTCATGTTCTAAACCTTTCGGAGTGACGTAAGGTCGGTATCCTCTGTACACGTTATTAGGACTAACTCTTCACCATGAACCTTATAAGAATCAGGAAGTACCAATAACATTGATAACATAAGAATAAGAGAAGCAACATCAACATCAATCGTTCCATAAGAGGGGAAACAATGTAAGTACTGCTAGCTTCTAAGAGTAGAGTATCTTTGGAAGCTCGTTCATTACATTATGTACAATCGGAGTCGTGCAAAAGAAGGAAAGGGATAGCCTCACATACCTTGTATATACTGCCCCAATCTCAAGCTATGCAATTTTCACGACTCCTTAGTCTACAATAAGAGAAACGATACTATAGTTACCATTCAAGCGTCATAACTATTATGTATCGACCACAACCTATTTTACGATGAAACGGACAGCACCTCCCCTATATATATGACTTCACACAATTCCAAACAATCACCAAACAGCCCAAACAACATCAATAATAATCATATTGAGCCTCCCAAAACAGTCCACGCACAACCAAATCAGTTCATACATACGACGGCCACCGTAGTCGTGTCAAACGACCCGGAAATGTTACGAAGAACTACCAGCCCACAACCCTACATCTATATGGTGTTTCTCCACACCCTTCCTCCTCCAAAACTCCACAAAACAGTAGTAAAACACGCAGCCCAAAAGCAACACAAAACAGTCCACAAAACAGTCCGCTACAAGTGAATAACTCGAACTCACGGCTTCCGATCACCGTCCCGTGAGTTCTTACATGTATAGAACGAATTACCATGAATTCACAGCAGAATAAATGTATGAAAGATAGCAGTAAACTCACCTTACTTGTTGGATAACTCATCCCTTATCTTGGTTCTTCAAACTCTAGGGTTTACCCCCAATTTGAACTTGAAAGAGAGGGAAAATCAATTAGGGTTTGTGGATAATTTTTGGGAGGAAGTTTGCAGGGGTTTAGGTCTGGTTATTTGTGAAATATAATGAGGGATATATTGCAGAAGATAAGCCTTTTAATGGGCTCTTTGTCTGACCCGAAATTGCCTCTTTTTGGGCTATCATTTAACCAAGTAGGTGACCCACCTACTTGTCACCTAGCAGCTTGTGCAGTCTCGCAAAAATATCTATATCTCTGTACTCCAATGTCGTATTGATAAAAGGTTTAATGCGTTGGAAACTAGATTCATAGATCTTCAATTTGGTGGGTAGATCACCCCGTAATTCCAAGTATATTGGGAGAAAAGCTTAATAACATTTGACCTAAAGTTTAAGTAAAACTATGAACTTAAGTTGCAACAACTCTTGTCGACTTTTGTTTCATAACTCGTTTGACTTCAAGACTATGATACGGATATTTTATAATTCATATACCTTAAAATAAGACCTCTTGAGAGTATTAAGCACCCCTAGGTTTACCCAAAAATACGGCTGACAACATCCTTGATTCGTTTAACTTCTAATACTTGTTAACCACCCTTATACACCTTTGTATCATTTAAGACCAATAGGATTAATCTCTTATCATCTCAAAGATAATCTCTTCATGGATTTACGTCGACGACCTTATGGCATGAACTAACGTATGTGAATATGGATTGTAACAGCTCCGCCATCGTTTTTGTCTCCTCTTGAGCCACTGCCCGACACACCTCCAAAAGTAAGCAAGGCAGGATCTCTCCTCCCCAGGGTCTTCACCTTCCCGGTCTGAGTGCTGGGTCCAATAGCATCCTCTTTATGCAAAGACATAAGAGCCTCAGCTTCGGTTTTGATACCGGATAGTGCAGCTACCAGCTCGTAATGGAGACCTCTGTACTTATCACTATCCTCCCTCGCATCACTGAGCTGACGCCCGACTAGGGTCACTTTCTCCTGGAGGGCATCCCTCTCGGAAGTTATCTCCCTTACGCACCGTTTGAGTTCGGAGACTTCAAAATCTCTGGCCCGGAGCTCCTCCCTCAACAGAGCGCCTTCCTTCTAAAAGTGCACAAACCAGGTCGGAGATGTTAAGACACTGAGATCTGGCAAAAATATTAATAAAATCGAACAAGGACTAGATAACCTATTTAGTAAGATGAGCTTTCTCGAGCTCATGAGGGATCACCTCACCCCGATACCGGGCGAAAGTATGACTATAAAGCGCCTTGGCCTGAACCACGGAAAAAGACAAGTTAGAAAGACAAACATCAGAAAAACCAAGGCCAGAGCGACAGACAGGGTTCGCACGGGTTACCTTCTCACAGATCCTGCTCATCCCACCAAAGACAAGTGAAGCATCGATCTCAGGGATTTCCTCGGGAACGGTTGGAAGCCCCCCGAGTACACCTCCGCCTTTGATAGGTCTCTTTGCTTCGGAATTATCTACGCGCGGGGCATCTTGCACTCCCATAGGAGATAGGGTCGTTCTGAGGGGAATCAATCACAACCACGGCACTAGCAGGATTGATCGAGACCATCCCTTGTCCATTCAGGGCCCCAAGACTAGGCCCCTCCGAAAGATCTACTGAAGGCACCCCTGCCCGAGGGAAACCCTGATCATCGGCCAGCTCGGAGGCTACACCTGGTGCCCCCTCAGTTGTCTCCCTGCTACAAAGCTGGATCGCAGCACCCTCAGACTCCGGCTCGGAAGCCACCACTTCCACGGCCCAAGGGTCGGCCAGGTTTGTCGCTCCCTCAGATGCCGTCGAGAAGCTATTTTCTCCCTCGTCGTCAACTCGAGTTAGGGCCGCCGGGCCTCAGTTTCTTCTGCCTTCATCTTCTTGGATTCCGAGGGTCCGTCTGTCGGATCCCGTTGTCTCTTTTTCCCATCATCGGATACCAAAGCGCCTTTCTCACCAGGCAATGCTCCCTTGATCAAAGGGACCTCCCCCAGTCCTACATAAGTGCAAGGGGTAAATGCAGGAAACAAGAATGCTGCTAATAGCGACTCGGGTTAAAGAATATGACTACGGCAGGGGTAAAGGCTCACCGTGATCTTTAGCCTCCCACCGTGCTTGAGATAAACCATGCCACACCCGCTCGACATATGGGCAAATCGAATTCAGACGACCGACCCAATTGGGGAGGTCCGTAACCGTGCCGGTATAGATTGCCACGGCTGCATTATCAAAAAAAATTCAATGCATTCTAACATAGTCAAAGAAAAGCAAGGAACGCTAGATAACGTGTCTACTTATGTTCCACATTCCACCTCTCGGGGAATGGCATCCTTTCCACCGGGATTAGGTCAGAAGTCCTTACTCGGATGAAGAGGCTTATCCATCCCCCATTCCCGAGCTCTTCGGTACAGGCGAAAAGGGCCTTTGGGCCTCGGCAGCGAAGCTTCATCAGACCCCCACGGAAGAAACGAGGGTTGTACATCCTGATCGGATGGTCGAGAGAGAATGGCATCCCCTCGACCATGTTCACATAGTACCTGATCGTATGAACAACGCGCCAGAATGAAGGATGAATTTGGCCAAGAGTCACTTGATACCGTTGGCAGAAGTCGAGAATCACGGGATCGATCACGGGCGAGGACGGTCCCACCAGCCCTAAGGTAAACGGGTAAGTATACACACTTAAAAAACCGGCTTTGTATGATCGTAACATCCTCCCCTCGAGCGGGGATCTCCACAAGCACCGCGTACCCTAGTGACAATCAGCTCTCACTCTTCCGACATCTGTTATCGAGCTAATGTACTGAGTCACGGGCTAACAGCGTCCTGGCTTCGAAGAGGGCTTCTCGACCTTGAAATCAGAAGCCATCGTGAAAATTCTGGGGACACATTCCTCAGCACGAAGAGGCATTGCCACTTCACCCTGAGATAGAAGCGAGGAGGACAAGGTTGCGTTCTCCTGAGAAACGGAGGCGAAAGTTCTCGCCATCCCTAGAAAATTCCTGAAGAAAAAGGGAAGTTGCGCTCTTAAAGAAGAATGAGAGTAAAGAAAGAAGGAACCTTTTATGGGGTTCGAAAATGCAGTAAGTTGGAAGGAACGAAAAGGGGAGTATTTATAGAAACCCCATGTGCGCGTCGAAGAAGGCCAAGGAGGCGGCTTACTGCCATAATCAATGCGAAGGCCTTCAAGGGCTGTGTATATTATCTTCTTGGCACCGTATGGCTGCCATCGTTGCAAGAGTATCAGAGGGGGGTGAAAATTCAAGGTCGTCTCTAATCGCTTTCACTCTATGAAACGCGGAGACTATCTGTGTTGGGTAAAATCGAGGGGTCCAATTTCCCTGTTACCATGATGCCCCATAAGGACACTTCCCGAGGCTCGAGACTGGGGTCGAGGTTCACCTTTGAGGGATTGTCGTTGTTCGATCTCGGAGCCTTGCAGACCAATGGATATATTGAGAGAAATGGGGAGTTCCCAAGATACACAGCTAGGGCTGATAGAGCCTAGTGGACTACCCTAACCCTGAATCATGGTGTCATATCTAGCTGTCCCATCTCCGCTTCTTTGTCTATAATACATTTTGTACTATATTGAGACTCCCCTCCTATATAAAGGGGATCCCTGTCATTTTGTAAACCTCTGTTGCTTCAGTTGCTCCACTCGAATATACAAAGAACATTCTCTCTGCTTTCTAATATACTTTATTGTTATTATTGCTTTCATTTATTATCTTCATACTTGTTCATCATTTATTTCTTATCATTGGCCATAAAGAGCCTTCATTAATTTTGTTATAACTGTTAGTCACGCCCCGATCGCCCCCGATAGCTCACTATCGGGCCACGATACCGACCTCGAGGTCTCCGTATCGACAGGCTTGAGGCCCCGATTGTTAGCCTCTCGGTTTGATTATCGCCTTACCTTTAGCTCTCATTTCGTCTCTAAACTTCATACACATAGCATCATCTGCTTAACAACTAGCATAAAAATAGATCACGTATTTTTAGAATCCCATCAACAAATTTAATTGTTATTACCATTTTCACGGTAAACATATATATACTTTCAAAATATTACATATGCAGTTATAAGCATGCATAAGTATTTTTATATATTTTTTTATTGTTTTAAAAGCTCCAAATCAATTTATTTCTTCTGCTTTTATTATATAAATATCCAATAATTATCCTTCCTACTACTTTAATGATGATTTAGCCATCTAAATTCATTTTTTATGCCAACATAGTGTTTGAATATTGTTAGTGCATTTTTGTAATTATATTTACTTTTTTTAAGATAAATTACACATCTTTGCAATAATAGCCCTTACTAATGTATAATTACATTATTTATGCATAAAATGATATTTTATATTTTTAAAATGTTAAATAAATTTTTAAATCATTTTAGTGCACAAAGATATTTTTGGTACTCATTTATTATTTTTTATAAATTATTTAGTTGTTAAAATTAGCTATTTAAAATCTGGCCCTATTTTCTACTTCAATTATGATCCAAATTTGACCCAATACCCAGCCTGTCACGACCCGGATTTCCCACCCTCGGGAGTCGTGATGGCGCCTACTAATGAGAGCTAGGCAAGCCAACCCTTAGCTGCTTACTTCATTATCACATTGCTTCTTTTTAACAAATATAAGTCAATAACATGAAAACAGCGGAACTTGAATAATTAAGCGGAAGATAACAATTTTTATATCTGAACATGAATTTCTAATACAACCATTTGATTTTCAACTACCCAGAACTGATGTAACAGTTTCACAGACGGTCTAAGAATACTACACATAAAGGTCTGAAAGAAGTAAACTCAACACTGTCTCCGGAAATACATGAAAGAAACAGGAATGTAGATGAAAGGAGACGCCAGGGCCTGCGAACGCCTGCAGGGCTACCTCGGGTCGCCTGATGAATAAGATCCGGAAATCTTGCTGCGGTCCGAAACCTGGATCTGTGCAAAATAGCACAGAGTGTAGTATCAGCACAACCGATCCCATGTGCTGGTAAGTGCCTAGCCTAACCCCGGCGAAGTAGTGACGAGGCTAGGACCAGACCAACAAATAAACCTGTGCAGTTATATAATATACAGTGGAAAGTAAAGCAGAAATAAACAAGTAGAGATGGGAGAGGGAAACATGCTTCGGGAAATAACAAGTAAAAAACAGAATATCAAGAGAACTATAAAGGGAAAAAAAATCCAACCACTAACAAGAATAAGGAAAACAGAGGCCGATTTCACTTTCTTTTCACATCTTGTTGCAGGCGTGCAACCCGATCCCATTTCCTGTATCTCGTGGCAGGCGTACCACCCGCTCCTAATTCATTATATTCATTATATCTCGTGGTAGGCGTACCACCCGCTCCTATTTCATTATATCTTGTGGTAGGCGTACCACCCGATCCTATTTTATTAAATCTCGTGGTAGGCGTACCACCCGCTCCCATTTCATTAACTCTTGTAGTAGGCGTACCACCCGCTCCCATTTCATCATATCAACAGTTCTTCCAAAAGAAATTTACTCTAACAAACGCAATAATCAATGTGAATTTATAAGACAACAAGTACACAGAAATTATGATTCACTGAGGAAGACAAATAATGACAATTAGCAATTAATTATGGACTTTAAGGAGCAATTTGGCAATTTAATATTTAATATGTTAAATGTCAGATGGCAATTAAGTCAAATAAACACGTAGCAATTATGGCATAAATTCAAGGCATAACGTTGCGCAAGGATACATTAACTCAATAATAACAAGTAACACAATAAAGGAAAATGGCAACATAAAGAATCACAGTAATAATGGAATAAGACAACTAATGCACTTGAACTGATAACAACAAGAAATCATAACAAACGGCCAGGGATTACCCTCATGCAAATATGGAGGCAGGTATTAGCCTCATGCAAATATAGAGGCAGGGATTAGCCTCATGCAAGTGTGTGGTACAGGGCTTAGACCCATGCAAAGAATAAATAGCAAATAATAGTAGCATATTTTTTTCTACTAGAGATATATTCGGTATCTGATAGCCCGATTGATAGTGATATATTTGCGGATGTTACCGTTACGTCAGATGTGCATGCGCTCAAAGAAAAATTGTATGTTTTGTGAGGGGGAGGTTGGTTCGTGCCTTTGTCCGCTGGCCTTGCTTCGCTCCGTTCTGGGGCCTTGTTTGAGTTTGCCTGGGTAACACCTGACTGTACAAAAATAGAGTTTTCGAAACTATGCNACAAACGGCAATAAGTGCACGACATCACCCTTCGTGCTTTTATTCTCTTCCTCACCCAAACAACAATCACAAACAAGGGCAAGGGAATAAACAAAATGGTAATAGAAATCCCGGCAAGGGAACACAATTAAACAATTAAATCCCGGCAAGGGTACAACATCAATAATCTCAACGTTCCGGCAAGGGAAATAACTAACAAAGCAACAATATCCCGGCAAGGGAACAATTTAGTAACTCTTTCTCTTTCTTTCACTTTTATTTCATAACTCACTTTACCACTTGAGCCAATGCTCCAAAGGGTTCAGTCATCTCATATGCTTTCACAGTTTATAATATAACTTGAGCCAATGCTCCACGATGTACAAAAATCACAATGACTTCCTTAACTTTTCCACAACAAATAGAAATCACTTCTAAGGCATAGGTTATTCAATGAAATCATGAAAATCACATTATGAGACCCACGGACATGCTAGACACCAACGTATAGATACTCGTCACCATGCCTATACGTCGTACTCAACAATAATCATGTAGCAAATAGGACTCGACTCCTAATCCCTCAAGCTAAGGTTAGACCAAACACTTACCTCGATGCTTTGAACTCAACTCAAGCCCCAACTATAGCTTTACCCCGTGATTCCACCTTCAATCCGCTCGAATCTAGTCACAAGTCACTTAATTACTTTAATAAACACTAAATGAATCAATTTGAATGCAAAAAAATAAATTTTCCAAAGTTTTGCCCAAAATTTCCAAAATCGCCCCTGGCCCACGTGGTCAAAACCCGAGGTTCGAACCAAAACCCGGTTACCCATTCGCCCACGAACTCAAATATGTAATTTATTTTGAAATCGGACCTAAAATTGAGGTCCAAATCCTCAATTTTTTGAAAAACCTAGGTTCTACCCAAAACCCCCAATTTCACCCATGAAAATCATTGATTCTAAGTGGAAAACATGTTAAATGATGTTAATGAGTGAAAGAATTAAGTAAAAATTGACTTACAAATGATTTGGGATGAAACTTGTTCTTGAAAAATCGCCTAAGGAGTTGTATTTTGAAAGTGGGGTGAAAAATGGCCTAAAATTCGACTAAGTATGAAAATTGCTGGGCTGCGGATATGGGAATTGCGAACTGGAGTTCGCAATTGCGAACCCCGACCATTTGTGGGAAATGCGAAGCTGGGTTCGCATTTGCGAACCCTTCCCATTTTGCCAGGCCTCGCATTTGCGATGAAATGGTCGCATTTGCGAGCCATTGAGTTTCGCATTTGCGAGAAACAAGATCGCATTTGCGATCAGTAGGCCAAGTCCCAGGCTTCGCAATTGCGATACAAAGCTCGCATTTGCGAGACACATATGCGCAAATGCGAAGATCACAGAAGAAGCATACCAGATTTTTATTAAGTTTAAAAATGCACTCCGACACCTATCCAAAACTCACCCGAGCCCTCGAGGCTCCAAACCAAATATGCACACAACCTCAAAAACATCCTACGGACTTACTCGCGCGATCAAATCGCCAAAATAACAGCATATACATCGAATCAAGCCTCAAAACTCATGATTTCTTCCAAATTTTTCATAAAACATCAATTTTCATTTTAAGTCCGAAACACGTCAAACGACGTCCGTTTTCAACCAAACTTTACAGAAAGCGCATAAACAATATATAAAACTTGTACCGGGCGCCGGAACCAAAATACGAGCCCGATACCACAGTCTTTTAATCAAATTTCATTTTCATTTTCATTTTCCTTAATCATTTCGAGAAAACAATTTCACACAAAAATTCATTTCTCGGGCTTGGGACCCCGGAATTCA